AGAGAGAGAGAGAGAGAGAGAGAGAGAGAGAGAGAGAGAGAGAGAGAGTTATGGGAGATTTGTTGTCTCCTAGCTTCCCCCTGAGCAACTTATAAAAAAAGAAATTGGCATACGATACAGCAGACAGCCCAAACAGCACCAGTCAGCAGAGAGAGAGAGAGAGAGAGAGAAAGAGAGAGAGAGAGAGAGAGAGAGAGAGAGAGAGAGAGAGAGAGAGAGAGAGAGAGATGGAGGCTATGGTGCTGATCTTTTGCAGAGTTCAAGCCTCTCCCCCTCCTATTTGCAGTTCACAACAACACAGTCAGCCGTAATAGCAATTTCAAAAAATCACAAATGCGTTTTTGCACTAGGGAGATATCCCGGGCGCCCGGGTCCCGATGTCGCGCCCGGATTGGCGACCGGGTGACCGGCCGGGCATGACCCCCGGGCATGGCCCCGGGCAGCCTCAGCGCAAAAAAAAAAAAAAAACAAAAAAAAAAAAGTCAAATCCAAAAAAATCTGAAAAAAAAATGTTGTGTAGAATTGCAATACAAACAACTTTTGGCTGAGGGTCACATCAGAATTCCTCACAGAACTAAAGATAAAAAAGAAAATAACCATATCACACTAAGGCACCCCCCTTTAAACCCCTTTAGCCCCTTTAAAATTCATTTACACTCCCCTTTCCCCCCCTTGACAGCCAACACTCAAAAAAAGAAAAGAGCCCGGGTTTGGACTCCTCTAGGAGAGCGCGGAAAAACCCCACCGCCAATTTTTTTATTTTTTTATTTTTTTTTTGTTTGTTTGCCATGACCGGGTCACCCGGGCGTCAGACCCCCCGGGGCGTCATGACCGGGTGACCAGCCGGTCCAGACCGGCCGGTCATGAGATTCTTCCTAGTTTTTGCATGCTTCTTTCGGAATCTTCATGTGCTGCATCCAGTCCACATTTCAATCCAATCCAGTGCCAATCTCCGTGCCCCTCCAGATTCTTTAAGAGGCCTACCATATTCCCCCAGAACACAACACAACACCCTCATTAGGACAATCGCTGTATCAGAGCAGAAAATTAGCTTGTATACATTCATGACGAGGGCTAGTTTGTGTTCTGGGGAAGGAAGCACAGAGTCAAGTTCCTGATTGTGAGAGAGTCAGTTCAGTCCTCCACTTTTTTTTTTTTTTAATCAGATATTGAACTCGCAACACCCCAAGAAGTATGCCTCGTAGAATGTCTAAGGGCCTTACCAGGCCACCACTCAGACCCAAGCCACAGGGGAGAAAAGACCCTAAGTAAATTCAGGGCCTGAGCGGGCGACAGTTGGCCGAAGTCAACTGCCTGACGCCCAACAGTCAAAGTCAAAGTCAAAGTGGACCCAGCCCAGGCCGCCGGTCAGACACACACACTTGTTTGTATGCAGGTACCCAGACAGCATCAGGACCAAGGGGAAGTCTGCAACCGTACACAATCCAGGCCCTCAACTGCGAGTCAATCTGTACGACTGTGGGAATGAGACCTGAGGCCAGACAGCCTCGTCAAACACTACATAAGGCTTGGTCTCCAGGAGGTCGACATTCAGTCTTGCTATGCTGCCTCAACGCTGGCTTGACTCTAGCTGGTCGCTGGCTTGACGCTGGCTCGACGCTGGCTTGACGCTGGCTTTGCGCTGGTACTGTGGACGACGACGCGGGGCTGTGGCAGCATGCTGGCACCTTCTCTGTTGAGCGCCAGCCTCTGCTGATGTGGCGCGTGCCACCTGTCTTCATTGCTGATGTGGTGCATGCCACCTACATTGCTGATATGGCGCAGGCCACCTGTCTTCATTGCTGATGTAGCGCATGCCGCCTACATTGCTGCTGTGGCGCAGGCCATCTGTCTTCATTGCTGACTGTGGTGCATGCCACCTGTTTACATTGCTGATGTGGCACATGCCACCTGTCTACTGCTGACATGGCATTGGCCACGCTGTCGACATGCGGTGATTTGGTTGTGACAAGGAGGGAGATCGGGATCTGTGGATGATCGGGAATTGGTACTCACCTGATGTTGACATCGACATCGTGCACTGCTGTTTGTCTTCATTGTCTCCACGAGATGACAGTGCCACGTGGCACTTCAATGTGATCAGGACTTATCAGACTTGTTACTGTATATTGGTTGATAACGTGGAGGCGAGGGGAAGCCCGGAGGAGGAGTGGGTAATGATTGGGCTACTCTTGTGTGGTCACTGATTACCTCTTCCACCCTCTCATCTATCTATTCCCCCTCCACTCTCTTCGTCTATTGGTAACGAGATATGGTATCAGATATCACTTTCACGATAACTGGAGACATTGTGTAGATCTGAGTCTACTTGTACTTCGACATCTGACGAGCATCTTCCAGTCTGGGTTCATTACAAACTGATCAGAACAGATACTACGCATGGTCTTAGCCAAGAGGCCGAGAAGGTTATAGCTGAGTCTTCCACTTGGTGGGGGGGGGGGGGGGGGGGGAAGCACTCTCCATTGAGAAAGATGTGCAATTCACAAACCGACACAAATGGCCCATCGCTGCTTTTATTTAACTGTCTTGGTCCCTCAAGGGATCGAAGCACCATCTTAAATCATGCTTTTTAGCCTTTTTTTTCTTTTTTCAATTATCTTTGTATTGGAAAGAACTTAAACACTTTAGCCGTTGGGGAAAGAGGAACCGAAACAAATTAAAAAAATAAAACTAAATTCTAGGTGTCTGACATTCAACCATCAAAAGAAAAGAAAAGAAAAAAAATGCCCTTCCCTTTATTCGTTGGGCAGCTAGGTACACATAGTAGAACCATTCCCATTCCTTTCTTCTTCTTTCTTCTTCTTCTTCTTCTTCTTCTTCTTCTTCTTCTTCTTCTTCTTCTTCTTCTTCTTCTTCTTCTTCTTAGCATTCCCATTTTCCTGCCCACCCTGTCATGAATCACACGGGTTGGTTAAAAGAGGAAAGGAAAAGGGAATAGAGTCAATAGACTCAATAGAGACAGAAAAAAAACGACAAAAATAGAACAGGAGGAATCTGTAGAATTACGCAAATAATGAAAACAGAACTTCAAATCCCGAAAAAAAAAGACAACAAAGCAACAGCCCTCTTACCAGCTTCTTCACGAGTTCTAGATGTTTCTCAGCCTCATCCCTCTGTTCCTTCTTCTGCTTTCTCTCTGAAACCATACTTCTCTTCTTCTGATATGCCAGCATTGTCCTCTCCTCTGCCCTCTTTTTCTGCTCCTCCAGCTCCTCATACGATTTCCTTAATTCTTCTGAGCCTGAGATTTGCTCAAACATGGCTGTCAGCTCTTTGGGGTTCTTCGCCGCAATCGACTCCACATCGCCCTGCGCAAAAAAACAAAACAAACAACAAACAAAAAAGAAAAAAGAACAGAAAAGAAAAGACACCAACACCAAGAAAATCACGTGCAAAAGGGAAAAAGTGAGACGTAGAGGAAAGGGGGGCGAGGGATAGGGTTTCCTTAATTCCTCTAAAAGCCTGAGATTTGCTCAAACATGGCTGTCCGTTCTTTCGGGTTCTTCGCTGCTATGGACTCCACATCGCCCTGCGCCTCCCCCTCCCACCGACCCCCCGCGCCCCCCACCCACCCAAAAAAAAAAGGACACCATCACCAAGAAAAGCGCATGAAAAACGGAAAAAGTGAGAGGTAGGAAAGTGGGGGGAGGGCGAGGAGAGAGGGGCAGGAGAGAGAGGGGGGAGAATCCGTGCCAACACAAGCACACCCGTGGTGAGTCAAACTTGTCATTAATAAATGCTCCTCAAGGACAATTGACAAGAAGCGAGAAATCAATCAGTCAAGATTTGAATAATCCCCCGCGAATTATCCAAATGTTTATAGATTATCCAAATGTTTGTAGATTATCCAATTTTTATAGATTATCCAAATGGTGGATATAAATAATAATGACTTCAATCAATTAAATTCACTCTTGTCCACTAGAATGTACTTCTCAACCAAATCTTGTTCTTTTTCTCTTTTGATTGAGGTTACTTTTTTACATGCTCAGGCATTTTTTTTTTCGTTGTCGTTTCGTTTCTTTTCCGTTTTCTTTTTCTTTTTCTTTTTCTTTTTCTTTTTCTGGGCTGACAAAAAGTTACACAACCGGTAAACCACCCCAACACGGATATATAATCATTTAACAGATATTATAATATTATATAATCAACAGGCCATCTGGATAATCTCACTAATAATAAGTGGGTTGGAACTTGCCCCTGCATTTTGCAGTCTCGATCCACATTTGTCTCTCTCCAAATGAGTGGTGCAGCACTGTACACCAGGCCAATTTCACAGGAGCTACGACAAGGATAAGACACGTAGCCTTTCAAGCAATCACAAATATCAGATAATGTCCACACAGATGGGAAGGAAGAGGAAGAATAAGGTAGACAGGAACACGGAGGGAGAGGTCCAGGGAGGGCCAAAAAAAAAAAAAAAAAAGGTGATGGAGGGGGGGTTCAAAAATAATTAAAAAAAAAAGAAGTTGGCGGCTTGGTGAATAAATACGGTGGATCCACCCACTGCATAAGCAGCGCATGCACGTGCCAGAGAGACGGCAAGGACACAACCAGAAGGAAGAAGAAGAAGACGAGGAAGAACCAAAGCATCAGCAGGAGGAAGAAATTGAACAAAAGCAAGAAGAAAAAGAAACAAAGGAGGAAGAGGAGAGAGGACGGGGGTGGAAGAGGAGGAAAACAGTAGTACAGAAGAAGAAGAAGTAGATGAACGAGAGCATCAGCAGGAGGAAGAAGAAGAACAAAAGCAAGAAAAAAAAGAAAAGGAGGGAGAGGAGAGAGGAGGGGGATGGAAGAGGAGGAAAACAGTAGCAGAGAAGAAGAAAAAGAAGAAAAAGAAGAAGAAAAGAAGGAGGAGGATGACGATGAGGAGGAGAAGGAGGAGAAAGAGGAGGAGGAGGAAGCAGTAATACAGAAGAAGAAGCGGAGGAGGAGGAGGAGGAAGAAAGAAGTGGTGCAGACAAAGAAAGAAAACGAAGAAGAAGAAGAAGAACAACAACAACAACAATAAGCCGCAAGGACAAGATGAGATGACGGAAGACCCATGGAGATCTTTGTCCCACATCTCTGCGTGGGGATTGGATTTTCTGTCCCATATACCAGTATGCAAACATACCTGGAAGACCAAGAAGTTCCGCGCCTTGAGCAAGATACCCAGAGACTTCATCTTAGCATTGTAATCGTCCCAGGATGCAACTCGTTCGTTGATTCGATATTCACACGATCCTGCGGCCGTGATCGTTCTTGTGAACGTCAGCTCCTCCCCACTCCCATTCCCATTCCTGTACACGAGCTTGACATAGGCTCTTCTCAACGGATTGACCACGCTGTCATTCTCAGTGTAAATCAGATCTTTGAGTTGCGATCCTCTCAGCTGCATGGACCGCACACCCAGAACGAAACTGATAGCATCCATCAGATTGGATTTGCCAGATCCATTGGGACCGATGATAGCAGTGAAGTTCCTGAACGGGCCGATAACCTGGTGCCCTTTGTATGACTTGAAATTCTCAACTTCTATCCGATGGATAGAACCCGTCGTCTTCATCATCGCCGGCATCTTGAAAAAACAACAAAAACAAAAAAAAACACTCTGGAAAACAAAACACCAAAAAAATGACAAAACAGCATCCTGTTATATCTCAACACCATAGAGCTCGTCCACCTTTTCTTCTTCTTCCTCCTCTTCCTCCTCTTCTTCTTCTTCTTCTTCTTCTTCTTCTTCTTCTTCTTCTTCTTCTTCCCCTCCTACTTTCTTCTTCTTCTTCTTCTTCTTCTTCTTCTTCTTCTTCTTCTTCCCCCTCCTACTTTCTTCTTCCTTCGTCGTCGTCTTCTTCCCCCTCCTAGACGGTGGGGCCGCAAGGCAAGGTCATGAGGTTACCCCCCTGAGGATGATCGGAGCGCAACGGATCGAAACGCGTCGGGGATTGTGCGCATGAGCTGAGATGAGTACGCGCGGCTTTGTAATGAAGAGCTTTCGATGCGTGTACGAAAGGCAGTTGAGGAATGTGCGCGTTTGAGCACGATGTCCGTGTGGGAGCTTCATCGCTTATCGTTGAAAGCATGGACGCATAGCGATTGGCCTCGCTATTTCAATTCAATTCTTCTTCTTCTTCTTCTTCTTCTTCTTCTTCTTCTATGTCCGCAAGGTTGTGAATGTGATGCTTTAATGTACGTGGACAACGGGCGACTGGCCTGGCTAGGAGAGGTGCGTCAGCACAGCATTCAGCAGGACGGCAAGCACGGACCATCCCATCAAAACGGTTCTGACAAAGGACAGGCTGTCCACATGTCAAAAAAACAGCAGGACGTTCATCACAGTGAGGCATCATGCAGTCCTGATAGCGTCCTTGCGCACAAAAGGGACAACGAATATCTGGGGGATAGGGATGTGTACAACGAGGAAATGTTGGACACCCTTCGGCACAGACGGCGGCGGCCGTAATAAATTGATAATGGTGATGGCATGGATGATGAATTCCACAGCCAAGGCGCACCGCGTCTGTGTCCCGACAGGTGTCACACGAGAGTCTGTCAACAATCCAGAATAAAGTATGATTCGGCAGTGCACGCAAAAATTCATTTACGTTGAAAACAGCCTGAATCATCGTCCCACCATCCCACAGTTCCCACTGGGCAGCTGCACGAATGAGTGCCATATACTGCCCGGGTCTGTGCGTGTGTATGGGACATTCAGGGGCACAGTCCCGTCTGTGTTCCTCTGAACATTCAGGAATACTTCCTGGATGTTATCATGTAACAAGCTAAGCTACCAGCCGGGCCGCCCGGGTCACCCTATTTTCCCGGGCGGCCCGGCCGTGCAAGGACCACGGAAGGTCCCAGCCAAAAAAAAAAAAAAAAAAGAAACTCCAAAAAATCCGAAAAAAAAACTTTGTCATGAAGAAAAATAAACTGAGCAACTTTTGCCTCAGGGTCACATCGAAAGTCTTTACCAAATTTTAAAAAAAAAATTATTTTTTTTTTCTTTTTTGCCCGGCCGGGCAAGTGGACCCGGGCCACTCTGGTAGCCTAGGTAACAAGTGTAATAGCGGCTGGATGAGGACGAGGACGAGGACGTAACGAGGCTTCCTACGCCCGCAAAAAGCAAAAAAAACAAAAAGCGGACAATATAATAATAATATTTAAAAATCATAGGTAAACACATAGTTTGGCTAGACCTCACCTTATTAGCCATCCGGCATCTTCTCCACAGTAGTTATGAACCCGTAGTTTCTGATCTTTCGCACAGAATCGAACCAGCAACCTCGACCACAAAGAGCCTAGTCTCTCAACCATCAATCCATGCATTAGCATATTAAATTACAAGGTTTTTTTTTCTGTGCGGCGGGAAAACCTTTTTTTCCCCTTCTATTTTGTACTTTGGGAGAGAGGGGGGCGGGGGGGGGGGGGGGG